GGGGTTCATGAACCCCAGTTTGGGAACCACTGTTCTAGAGTGATTATCTCTCTCTTGAGACTGCCACAGAACTTTGACATGCTTTTAGGTGGTGTGAAAGTGCAGAGCCTATTCTCTCCCACTTCTCCCAGCTGCTGGAGACCGGGAATGAAATTTCTGTAATCATTGTACCACCAGTAGAAATGTCAGTGCTGAGATCAATTCCAGTTCTGGGTCTTGCACGATGCTGGAACCCTGTGTCTTGAATTACCCCGCACTTAATGTCCTTGCCTGTCACCTAAGTATGCGGTGGAATATCGTATGTTGGGCAGCTATCACCATATTTGGCTGGTCCATGGTACGTACGCAGTATACGTATGTTGATCTGAGAAGGTGACTGCCACTGATGTGCATCTGTGAATAGTTACAACGCAACTTTCATTCATTTGGGCATATACTGGTACATTTGAAGAAACCAGAATAAACTTGCATGGTAATACTGCTCCTGCTATCCTGTTATTGGTGGACTGTAGCTTAGTGTGTATGCAGATGGGACTGGCTACGAAATAGGTCTTGTCAGGTTGCATACACTCATTCTGGATTGAATGCTGTGCTCCCCAGATGTAATGGCTTTCCCCATGATCGAGTTAAGCTTTTGAAGTCCAGTGCTATATGTGATTCTTAGTGGTTTGGAGTGAATTTTGTATGCACGTTTGTGGTCAAATGAGTTTTCTGGACTGCCAGTGAAGACAGTTGTCCTTACAAGCATCAGACCACCAGCAAAGCTCACCTAGTTACTAAGGGTGCAATCCACGAAGGGACTTAGGCACCTAAGTCCCTTTGTGGATCTGGGCCCAAGGGTTACTGCTTCATACACTTTGGGCTGACAGTCCTTTGATGGTTTTAAGTGTAAGAGGCTTGTAAAAATAGATGTCTTACCAGTGCAGAACTCCAAATGTTGTATTTTGCTTCTGAAGTGCATTGAAATGCTCTCTGTTTTGATTTTTCATCTGTCTTCCATTCCTGCATATTAAAGAAGGGTCATTGTAGATTTTCCCTGAGAGCGTAATAAATGTTGTATCATAATATGTTTTCTACTTTGATGTTACACTGAAATTTCTTGCGGTCATTTTTTCCATAGGTTAATTTAATTTGACATGGAAGTTCTCTCTCATTGCAATTTGCATGTTGCTGTGAATTGGAAACAATTGCGGCTTATTCAGCTTCCCAAGTTCCACTCTACTCAAAATCTCTCATTGCACATGGTTTTCTGTGTTTAGACCTAATGTGACCAAGTTACAGGTTTAAAGAAAGAATGAACCGTCTGTTGTGTTAATTAGATTCTGTGCTTTTGTAGGACCTTTCATCTGAGGATTTCAATGCATTTTACATTAATTAAATCTTAAAACACCTGTGTAGAGTAGATACTAATATTTTCATTTTACAGAGAGCTAAACTGGGGCTTTGAGAGGTTAAGTAATTAGGCCATAGTTACACAGTCTGGCAGTGGCAGAGCCCAGAATACCAAATGCCTTTAACCCCCTAACTAGACAATATAGATAGATGAAGTGTCTGTGTATTAGGAGGAAGTGTGTCTAATGGTGAGAGAAGAAGATTAGAAGTCAGGAGTTGAGGAAACTATTTCTGGTTCTGCCACTGACTAGGTCTGTGACTTTTGATAAGTCCCTTAGGTCTTTTCTACATGAGGAAGTTGCACAAGTATAACTTGAGTCAACTTTTAAACTGATAAAAGGCTTGTCTACAGCAACAATCAGTTCATGGCAAGCAGCGGTGTGACTACCCTACAGTAGTCTGTGAGGGGCTGTCCATGTGGACCCAGCTGAAATGTATTAACAGTTAGTTAATGCCATTTGATTAGCCCCATATCAAAGAGGACTAAATCAAAGGTCATTAAAGAATTATTAATGGGAGTCAGGAGGCTCCGCACACACAGTTAGTCCACAGCAGTCTTGTGCCGGGTAGAGTCACACCGACCTTGCGGCAAACAAAATGTTCCTATAGTCTAATCTTTAATTAAACTGGTGCTAAAGGCTCTGCAGACACTCTTATTTCAGCATAAGAGAGTGTCTTATTTTGGATTAGCTAAACCTGTTCCTAATCTATTCAAACTAATCTGCAATAATCCACTCTTAAACTGAAATAAGAATCCGCACTGCTTCGTGTGGAGGTGGTTTTATTATGTCAATGGGAGAGCTCTCTCCCGTCAGCATAGCGCGGCTACACAAGCGATGTTACAATGGTGCAGCTGCATTGGTACAGCTGTGCCGCTGTAAGCTCGCTAGGGTAGACATGGCCTTAATATGTTGAAATTCACACTTTAATTTATACTGGGGCAACAAAACCTCTTTCTTTCTTTCTCTCTCTCTCTCTCTCTCTCTGCTGGTCTGAGTCTCTGCTGCCTCACACCCTGAGAAGTCAGTCAAACCTGTGCAAAGTGTGTGTGAAACAGCGGTAACATTTTGCGCTCACTTTGTGCAGGTGTGAGTGACTACACAAAGTTGCAAGAAGAAAGTGGAGAATCAGGCTCTTTGCCTAAGAAGATTTTGCATCTGTAAAATGAATACTATTTGAGATCTGGAATAAAAATTGCTAAAAAGTGAAAATGATCAATTAGTATATTTTATTACAATGTTTAAAATAAAAAAAATGTATATTTTAAAATGAGAGAGGCAAAAGTTGGTGCAAAGGAAGGATCCTTAGCCCTTCAGCTTCCACGGGGGACTCCTGGGGAGAAGATGATGGAAGGACTTTTTTCTTAAATAAAAGGAAAACCAAGTTTTCATTGTTTGCATTCCATGTGTTCCCCAGTTCTTTGTCTAGATGCTTTATGGTATATTGATGCCTATCTCATGTGACAAGCTTAGGACATTGACCAAAGCACTGACTTGTTTGTTAGCAGCTGCACTGAGCTGAAAAATAAAGAGCAGCGACTTGTGGACTTTTTGACTGTTCATTTGTAATGATGCATCTGCGGAGGTGGTTTAGGCTGTGCTCGGAAGTAACTTGCACTAATATCTGTTAAAAACAATAACATTTCTTGCACTCCCTTCTGATTGCAGTGTGCTAATGCTTTGTCCTATGGCATAGATTGTGATTTGTAATAATACATATTCTGAAACAAGGACCTTCTCCACTCAAGAACATGTTGAGATCATGAGACAATATCTTAATTTTGAGGGTTCAAGTGGGCTGAAGATGCCGTTGAAAAGTGCTGTTTTTTTAAAGGGTGGTGGTGTTGTGCTGGACTGGGACTCGAAAAATCTGGGTTCAATTTCAGGCTCTCACACTTCCGTTGTTCCCTGGGGCAAGTAATTTAATCTCTCAGAAATGGGGATAATATTTCCTTTCTCCCATCCTCAGGTCTAGTCTCTTTATGTTGTAAGCTCTTTTCCTGTGTATTTGTGCAGCACCTAGCACAATGGGGCTCCGATCTCAGTTGCATCCCCCTGCACTGCTATAATACAAATAAATAATCGGTATTGTGATGATATAAAAGTACATATGAAAATGGAATGTATTTCCTCAGCTGAGTGAGGAAGTGGAGCACGTAGCTGAGCATCTAGAGCCAGTGGAGGAAGGGGAAATGGACGATGATCAGGAGGATACCAGCTCTGCTATTTTACCAGGTGAGAGCTGCTAATGCAAAAGTCCTCTATCAAGTGCCTAATAAAAGCTGCTTGTTTTGAATGGCCTTTTGGGGAGCAATTGAAACAATAAATGGTTCACTGTCAGGAATGAAATACTGTACCAAAGGGAAGCTGAAGAGTTCCTTACCCATGAGACAACATCACTGTGTCTCCTCTGCTACAGATATTAACCTGGAGTTAGAACCAAACCAAAGAAAATCCAGCAAAATCCATTTAAAAGGAAATGCTGAGCTGACCCTGCTGGGATTTGAATGTGCAATTCCAGGGAGCCAGTGTATTGCTACTTTGCGGCATAAGCATTGTCTACCTAAGCAAGTTGCACCGGTTAAACAGAAGGTGTGGTTTTAAACCAATTTAGGCCTTGTCTACACTACAGAGTTTTGTCAACAAAAGTTATGCCGCTTTAATTAAACTGCTGTTGCATGTCCACACTATGCTGCTTGTGTCGGTAGAGTGCATCCACAATAGCAGCTCTTGCATCTACGCAGAGAGCAGTGCACAGTGGGTAACTATCCCACTGTGCAACTGGCTGCAGTGTGCTTTGGGAGGGGTTTGCAGTGCCTCATGGGGCAGGTACAGTGTCACATGATGAAGGTTTCTCAATCCCATGGTTCCAGGGGCATCCTATACATTGCCAGTTGCTTTTCAACTGAAATGTAGGGGGGAGGAGAGGGGAGCAAAGTGTGTGTGTGTGTGTGTGTTGTGGGGGAGACAGAAACAGTGTGTGTTGGTGGAGAGTGTGTCAGCATGCTGTCTCTAAGTTCAGACAGCAGCCTGAACAACCAATCCTGAGGCAGGAGGAGGGGGACACCCCGTCTCACATCAGCCCCCCCCCCCCCACGCAGCCCGCTCTGCCTGCCGCTGTGTTCCTTGTGTCGAGGAGAGCAGGATTCCACATGAATGGTTCTGTGATTCCCTCCGAGTTCTCCCACAGCCTCTTCAGCTGCTGGGAGCAGCGTCCTCGGCAGCTCTGTGAGCTCTCCATGCTGAGGAATGTCAAAGCTTCCCAGAGCTTTGAAAGGGGAGCGGTGCCTGCCTGCATAGCTCGATGCAGAGCAGCCAAGTTCAAAACAGTGAGTAGAGCTCTCTCGGTGGGAATTGTGGGATACTGGGGGAGGCCAGTTATGGTGACATAATGAACGGCAGCATCACCACTGACGCTTTGTTGCTTTAACTTTGCAGCGAAAAGCTCTATGCCTCTTGTCGAGGTGGTTTTATTTTGTTGGCAAAACAGCAAGAGTTTTGCCGCCAAAAGTAGCTCTGTAATGTGTACACCTCCCCAGTTTTGTCGAAACTGTGTAGTGTAGACAAGGCCTAAGTTACAGTACAGTAAGTACTGTGTGGATGTGCGTTTTGGTTTAAATCAGGTTTATTGCAGTTTAGATTAAGTTGATTAAGAATAGGTGTAAACTAAGTGTCCATACTCGCTTTTGCACTTGTTTAAAAAACACTGTAAGTTTAATTGGTGCAATTTCCTTGTGTAGATAAGGCCCTAGTTCTTTAGGTTGTCCTCTCCTGGCAGTAACTCTGTGGGAATGGCCTGTGCGACAGTGGAATCACATTATTTGACTAGGCACATGTTCATTGGGAGCTTTTAAAGGGTTAGTATTTGCTATGGTAAGGAACAAACACCTCAGCATGCTCTTACATTTGAAGGATAGGACATACTGTGGCATGATAAAGGCTGTTTTTTTTTTTTATATGGCTCCCTGTGTAAAAGACCAAATTGTCAAAATATAGCCATCACTTCTTGCATGTGCCATTTATAACACCCATTTGTGTGTGCAACTATATAGTGCACATAGTTAAACCTCCTTGTGTGTAAGTCAAGTATTGGTTCTTAAAAGTTGTGCAGGCAAGTCGTGTGAGGGGGTATGTACACATACCAGGGGAAGCTGATTAAAGGACTTTGGACAGTATTACCTATCTTGTTGATAGTGAAAGTGTTTGAGAGAGAGTTTTTTCTAGAGTTAACTGGAATCCTTCTCATGAGCAACTTTATATAATGTGCATACAGAGTTAGGTGTTAGACTTTAGTCTTTAAAAATGTAAGGATAACATATAATTGAGTGACTTCTAACCTGGTGCATGCATAGGGTTGCCAACTTTCTGCTCTCACAAAACCGAACACCCTTGCCCTGCCCCATCTCTGAGGTCCCGCCCCTGCTCATTCCACACACCCCTACCCCCATCGCTCACTCTCACCACACTCACTCACTCACTCATTTTCACTGGGCTGGCTCAGGGATTGGGATGCGGGAGGAGATGAGAGCTCTGGCTGGGTGTGCGGGCTCTGGGGTGGAGCCAGGGATGAGGGATTTCGGGTGTGAGAGGGGGCTCTGGGCTGGGGCAGGCAGGAGGGGGGTGAAGGCTCCAGCTGGGGGTATGGGCTCTGGGTTGGAGCCAGAGATGAGGGGTTCGAAATGCAGGAGGGGGTTCTGGGTTGGGGTGCGGGAGGTGATGTGAGGGCTCAAGCTGGGAGTGCAGACTCTGGGGTGAGGATGAGGGGTTTGGGATAGAGGAGGGTGCTCCGGGCTGGAAGGTGGAGCCGAGGGGTTCAGAGTATGGGAGGGGGCTTCGGGCTGAGGAAGGGGGTTGGGGAATGGGAGGGAGGTGAGGGCTCTGGGCTGGAGGGGTGGGTTCTGGGGGGGGCATAAATGAGGGGTTCAGGGTACAGGAGGAGGCTGGACCAAGGGTTTCAGAAGGCAGGAGGGGGATTGGTGCTGGCTCCAGGCAGCGCTTACCTCAATCAGCTCCCAGAAGAAGCAGCATGTCCCCCCTCCGGTGGCTCTGTGCACTGCCCCAGCCACAGGCGCTGCCCCTGCAGCTCCCATTGGCCACGGTTCCCAGCCAATGGGAGCTGTGGAACCAGCGCTTGGAGCGGGGGAAACATGCGGAGCCCCCTGTCTGCCCCTACATGTGGGAGCTGGAGGGGGGACATGCCACTGCTTCTGGGAGCCACGGCAGGTAGGGTGCCTGTCTTAGCCCCGCTGTGCTGCCGACAGGACTTTTAATGATCCGGTCAGCAGTGCTGACCGGAGCTGCCAGGGTCCCTTTTCGACCGGGCGTTCTGGTCAAAAACTGGACACCTGGCAACCCTGTGCATGCACGCTGCAGTTAGCTAGCTACATAAGAGCACTACAGTGCTGAAAGCCTCTGTGTTGATGCATAGATTAAATTTGGTCAGGATCAGTTGGTTCAGACTTAGGAGAGATGAGTCTTTTATGCTGTGGAAAAAAAGGCTCCATCGGGGGACTTTTCGCTGTGAACGCTGAATTTTTCAGCTGATCTGGCCTCTTTTAAATGTGTTTTTATTCTGCCTATTGTGTCCCTAGGCCAGTGGTTCCCAAACTTTAACAACCTATGAACCCCTTTCACTAAAATGTCAAGTCTCACGAACCCCCTCCTAAAAATGAATATATCCAGGGATTTTCTCCTTTACCTGAGTATAAATTATAAAAGCATTGATCTTGGAAATATAAAATTTGTTTTTATGACATGCTTATTACACACTATTTATTATTAATTATTATTCATCATTACAGTATTTTATTACATTATGAAAATGGCAACACTCTTCCAAGATCTCACTTTCCTTTTGTAGTTTGTATCATTTTGAATAAGCCTGTTATAAGACAAGGCTCCTGTGTTTCATCAAGGAGTATCAGATGTGAAACAGCATGAATGTATTTAAGAAGACAACTTGAAGAGTTCCCTCCTACACAAGCATTCAGGTCTTGAGCAGTCCAGGCAAACAACGCACATTACAACAAAGCTTAAACTTATTGTTTTTAAAATTATGATGAAGAACACTAGCTGCCTATTTAATTTTAAAAACAGCAAAAAATATCCACTTCCCTTTCCATTTCTTATAAGGAGTCTTGAAGTTTAAATCTCAGTGTGATAGATATGCTTGCTTTGATCTGCTTAGCTCTTGGAAGTCCAGGGGCTCTGGGCTGCTGGCCCTATGGGGTCCCTATGAACAGCTCTGTCCGCCATTAGGGAATTTTTTCCCGAGAACGCCCTGTAACATTTCGTGAACCCCAATTTGGGAACCACTGCCTTAGGCACAATCCGTAATGCAGGAGGTAAAACAAAGGCAGAACCCTCTCCTTACTGATTACGCCGCATCATGTTCATGGGAAGTAACAGCCGACTGTTTGCTTGTCAAAAAAACATTATTTATTTGTTCTTGTATTTTAAATCAAACTAAGCCTGTTGTTCCCTCTCATTTCAAATGGTTCATCTTGAAATTAACGCTCTGCATGATTCAGTGTGGAAGACTGTAAGTAAAGACACTTACAAATTTTAATCCCATATTTTGTTCAGTCCTAGATAGTGAATCAGGGACCAGTAGCCCTTCTGTGCGTTTCAGCAAGACCTGCCTAAAGAATGTCTTTTCCGTAATTCTCCTCTTCATTTATCTGCTGCTCATGGCTGTAGCTGTGTTCCTTGTCTACCAAACTATCACCGACTTCAGGGAAAAGCTCAAACACCCGGTGATGTCTGTCTCTTACAAGGAGGTGCCCTTGTATGATGCACCTGGTAAGTCTCTGGAAACAAATCATCATAGTGGTGAAGTCCAACTGTCTCTCAAGATGTCATTCAAATCTTTGCATGCGTTACTGACAGCATTTTGTATGTAACACGTGCTGGTGCCATTTACTCTCCATGTCGGTCCAAGTGATGCAAAAAATGCTTTGGACTTTGCTTCTTTTTTTGTTTAACCCATGGTGGTGGTGACTGCAATGCATGGAGCCTTTTCTCGGTTATCATGAGACTGATTTGCTGAATCTGAACATATATAATGTTAATACACGCGTTAGAGTCTCATGCAGCTCTTCAGGAGCTCATATGAGGCTTTTTTGCAGAGTCCCTAGACTTGAATGGGCTCATCTTGATCTCTTGGGAGTGAGAAGAGCGTTGACCACAGCAGTGCTCCTTAAGCTACTTAACCTAGCCACAGCAGCACATCTGACTGCTGCTCGGATCCCTGCCCCTCGAAGGAGCAAGGTAATAATGGTGGTCAAAAGAAGGCAGAGCTTTTGTATTAACAGGATTTTATAGGCAGCCACAAAATCATCATACTGTGATAGTCTGCTTTTGCACTGGCATTGCATCAGTAGGCAGTGACAATGAAACAGCTCCACCATATCGATATCACAACACAACATCAGAGCATCATATAGCAGTTATTTGGTGACGATTATTTTTATTAAAATGTTTTGGAGTAGTGCTGTGTGTGTAGATATAAAAAATGTGTACTTACCCCAGTAAGCAGCAGCTTACTCAAAGGGACACAGTCAACTTAAAAATCACACTTATGTCTGAAAATGTTACCACCTACTCTTGTTAGGAGTAATCCCTCCCAGGACTATTGTTGAAAGATTAGAGAGAAAATATTTGGGGTTTTTGCAGCTATACTGTGTGCATTTGACAGCATTCTGTGTATAGTTAATTTAATTATTTCCTCTGTAGTCAGTTAGGCCTCAAGTCTGCAATCAGACCTTTGTGGAGAGCTGCATTCACAAGCTCAGGTGTCTACTGACATGGATCTGATTGTAAGGTCAGGTCCATTGTCTGTTTCCCCTATGGTTTGTGTGGGTCTTTCATACAGTGATAGGGGAGAAAGACATTTTAAAAAATAAAAAAAATCTGATTGTAAAACCACAAAAATTGGCAGTGAGCTCAGAGGCAGTTGTAGGACTTGAAATTACTTTTAACTTTTTTAAAAACTGACCAGATTTTTCTTCCAAGCATGGAACACTGGAGATGAGCAAAATGTATTTTAGATGCTCTCCACTATCCTTTTTGACTTCTTATGTGAGGGCATACAGGTTATTTCAGTAATTGGTGTAGGTTTATAAATCATATGGTCATTTATCACATGTAGCATTTTATTTATTTATTTATTTATTTATTTATAGTAGTTGATCTATATTATCTTCAAGCAAATCTGTGTTTCCCAGACTAAATGTGGCATAAGACCTTTGCTGGTTTTCATGAGGGGGAAGCTGGAAAGAAACACATGAAGTTTTTATACCCACCATTGGACTTAAGCATTGTACTTTTATGCTAAATATATTAATTGCAGCATGGGTGAAAAAAATAGCCTGCCAACCTGATAGCAAAAGTGATGAGAGAGGATAATTTGTTGACATGTTTGATATCTTTGATTTAGCTTGATATAGTATTTAGTAATTATAATGTCTATTTGATGCCAGAGGAAGGAACATCTTTTTGCTTTTATTTTGTCAGCCAGTGACTTTAGAGATTCCATAGACAATACATTACTTCTATTGTATATTCCCAATATGGGTTTATACAATATGGTTTAAGGGCTTGATCCAGTAAAACAGTTAAGTACTTTAAGTGTTTGAGGACTCCCATTGACTTCAGTAGGCCTAGTCACATGTTTAAGTGCTTTTCTGGATGGGGGTTTTAGGACCTGATCCAGCACCTTCTGATGTTAATGGAAAAATTCCTGTTGACTTCGGTGGGCTTTGGATCAGGGCCTGAAAGAGAAACAGGCAAGGGTTTTGTTTTGTTTTGTTTTTTATCGTGCTGTTCAGGGCTTAATCCGGCAAGGTGCTGAGCTCTCTAGCCCTGGTCCAGCAGAGCATTTAAGCACATGTTAACTTGGAATGCTTTGTTGGATCTGGGAGCTCAGCACCTTGCAGGATTAAATCTGAGAATGACAATCCACTTGGGCAAGAAATCAACTCTCATTTACATTTCTTCCAACTTTTTTCCCCTGAAACAGGTATTGCACTTTACCCAGGCAAGGCTCAGCTGCTTAGCTGCAAGCATCATTACTATGATCACATTCCGCCTCTGATAAACCCAGGTCAGCCAGGAGAAATTGAGTGCATCACTCAGAGAATCAACTACACAGATCCTTTTACTAATCAAACCATGGTAATAATTAAAAAGACAAAGGAACAGAGTTCAGCGGATGGGGTTGTTTTGTGCACTGCAGCATTCCAAAGCAGCAGTATATGTTATCCAGGAACTGCTGTGAAATACTTGCTTTCTTTTTTCTTAACTTTTTTTTGAACAATCAGTCCTTAGTTTTAGAAATGTGACAGACATCAATTAGTTTACTTTATTGTGGATGCTCAGATAGCTGAGTGATATGTGTGTCATAAGAATCTGAATAGAATGGAACGGAATAGATATTTTTGACAGTGCAACTTTTGGTTCATTTCCTATAAAAGTCAAAACTGGCGTGCAACTTTAGATGGTGAGATATGTTCAATTTGTTGAATCCTGCTTTGGCTGAAGGCGGAAGTTTTTCTATGGACTTTCAGTTGGAGCAGGATAGGTCCTTAGATTCCCTTTTTACATATTCCATGTGTGGATGTACATACATATATTGTAATGTCATTTTTACCAAACTTGCTGGAATCTTCATGGGAATTTGATGTCCAACTAAACTGATTAGAATTAGGAAGGCACATTGAATATCAAGTGAACCCGTAGTGGTGATGCTCACTTAAAAAGGAATTGAGTTGTAGTCCACCTTTATTTGCTGCATTTGCAAGAGCAATTTTTGATCATATTTAGATAATTTTTATTTAAAAAACAGGCTGAAATATGCCAGTTTGTTGAGTTTTAAATGGTGGTTCATGTTTAATTTACTCTTTTTAAAGCAGTCTGTGTAAACACCCCTTCATGCCAACCATTTTTCCTCTTCTTTGCTTTTCCCATGGTCTGTCCACTTCTTTCTGGGGAGCTGCCCCCTACCCCTCTTCTTTGTGTTGATATTTATTTCAGAGCAAAGGCTATGTTAGGTTCTATCGTAATGTGTTCTCTCTCTCTCTCTCTCTCTGCCTTTGTTATGATTGCCCGTTTCAGTGTGCTAAAATCCTGCATTTTATGCTGCACGTATTAGATACATTTTAAGAATCTTGGTGCTCTTGTATGCTCTGATCTTGCACTTGACTCCACATTGTCAGACCTCTCTGCCTGTGCGGAGCGTCCCATTGGAGTCAACGGGACTTCTCCTGCAGGCAACAAATTGCAGGATCAGGGATCTATATTGAACATACTGTCTGGTCTGCAACTTCATGTACAATATTATGTTTTCTCTGCTTAAAGTGGGGTTCTGCTCCCTGACATCACTTTTAAAGCCTGTCAGTCAAGGTTTGTCTATCGTCAGTGTTGGATCTTAGAATTATATTAATTTGAGATGTTTGGGCTAGATGAGTGACACTCTGTTTTGCAGGGAATCCCCACCTTCTCCTCAGGTAGGCTCTCAAGTCATCCAGGGGCTGCTGGAAGAGGCTTTTGGGATCCAATCTTGCATTCCTTGTGCACACAGAACTCCCAGTGACTTCAAGGCAGGTTGGAGTCAATAGGAGGTGTGATTCCGTAAAGAATGTATGATTGGGCCCTGAAAAGGTACTGGCCTTTATAACATACATCAGTAGTCTGTAGCAGTGGCACAAAACAGTATCATACTTACATAGCCCCTTTCATTCAAATCTCAGAGCATTTTACAAGCGTTAATTGGTTAGCACTTCTTTTACTGATGGAGAAACTGGGGTGTAGAGGCTAAATGTTGCCCCAAGTCACAAAGTGAACCGAACCAGAGTTCCTGGACTCACAATCCACTAGATTGTACCCTCTCACCTTACAGTAATCTTACTGCAATGTCGTGGACCTTTACTACAGTATTTTATGGAACACTGCTCTTCCAGTGGGCCTCCACCTAGGAGATGTCCACATTTTTGAGCCTTGGATGGGAATGTTCCGGGGAGGCTAGCCTCTCCTGTCACTCGTGCTGCTGGGACTACCCTGGATTTTTAGGGTATTATTTTGGGGAGAGCTGACATGGGTATGGCTCCTTGAACTGGGACTCACACCCATATTCTCTCTAATTTTTCCCACCCATGTGCGGAATGGATTTTGTTATGTGCACCAATATGGAGGTGATGTGGGACACCTCCATATTGGTGCACATAACAAAATTCATGTGATGGGGGCGGGGCCGACGGGATTCAGAGTGTGGGTGTGGGCTCAGGGCTGGGGCAGAGGGTTGGGGGGTGTTGTGGGATGAGGGCCCTGTCTGGGAGTGCGGGCTCGGGCGTGGGGCTGGGGATGAGGGATTCGGGGTGCAGGAGGGGGCTCAGGGCTGGGGCAGAGGGTTGCGGTGCGGGCGGGGTGGGCTCTGGGGTGGGACTGGGGATGAGGGGTTTGGGGTGCAGGCTGCCCCAGACTGTGGTGGGGAGAGATGACTTCCCCCAGTCCTCTCTCACCGCAGCAGCTGGGGCCGGGGGAGAGGCACCCCTCCCTGCGGCAGCAGCTCCGGCGGGCCTGGTCTGGACCAAGGGAGGGTCTCCTTTACCCGGCAGCTCTGGTGGGCCTGGGAGGGGCTTCTTTCCCCTGGCAGCTCCGGCGGGGCTGGACCAGGCCAGGTCGAGGGAGGGGCTCCTCTCCCCCAGCCATGGCAAGTCTGGGGCAGAGCAGGTCCATGTTGGGGCCGGCGGGGAGGGGCACCTCTCTCCGCCGTGGCAGGTCAGTGCTGGGGGAGAGGCATCCCTGGGTGGGGCTTAATAGGCAGCTGCGCGGCCGCACAGCTTAGAGGGAACTTACACTCACCCCTCCCTGCCCTGCTCCCCCCAGCTTGAAGTGTAGACATACTTCTAGACTAGCCAGGATCACTCTTCAGGTTCCAAGAGCTGAAAAATCATAGATTCACAGATTTTAAGATCAGAAGGGATTATAATACTCTAATTTGACCTCAGACATAACATAGGCCATAGAACCTCACCCAGTAACTTCTGCATCAAGCGCAATGACTGTAGTGAAACTAGAACTTTTAAAAAGACATCCAATCTTGATTTAAAGACTTCAAATCTCAGGCAGTGTCTACACTGCAAAGTAACAATGTAATCGTAGTATGGGTAGGCATCCCTGAGTTAGCTTTAATCGAGTTAGTTCAGGTAACAAAAGCAGCATACACATGGCGGCCCAGGCTCCAGAGTACGAGCCCTCCAGGGACCCAGGGTACTTATTTGGGTTGCTAGTCCATGCTAGTACATCTACACTGCTGCGTTACCCGTGCTAGCTAAATATAAAGCTAACACGAGTATGCCTCCCTGTGCTATGATCACACCTTCACTTTGCAGTGTGGCTATACCCTTAATCAGCAAGCAGGAATTTAAGTATGCCCTGGCATTCTCACTGGACATCTTAATTGATGTGTACTTACCCCAGACATGAAAATCTCCATGTATACTAGGTTTCTGCCATACATTAGTGACAGGTGGCAAGTTCAGTGACAGGAAATGAGGATTCTTTTACTTTTTTCATAGTTCTATCAATAACTCTCTTTCTCTGTGCTTCTAGAAACATGCTTTGATTGTCCAAGGACCTCGAGATGTGAAGAAAAGGGAACTGGTGTTTTTGCAGTTCCATTTAAATGAAACAGACCAGGATTTCAGTGCAATAAACTATCTTCTGTTCTCTTCTTTCCAGGACTTCCTCAGCAGGTATGCACAGGAATAAAGGGTGTGGCCTAGCAAATATATTGTAAAATGCATATTGTTACTAGTAGATGAAAGTAGGGCTTCTTGTTTTCCACTTCTGTTTTTACTGATTTTAGGTGTGTGTTTGGGCTAGCTTGGGGCACTTCCATGCTTTGGAAAAATTGGTTTCTAGTCATTAATGTTGGTGACTGAAGAATTTTGAGCTGTGGAAATGGTTTTCAGTGGCAAAAATCACCTCTGGATCAATGTTGCCACCACTCATCACTTGTCTTTTGGCCATTCAGTATCTTTGGTGCAGTCTGTGCTGCTGCTCTGGGTGACCTGGAAATGAATCTCAGCGGGCAGCACAAACGGGAAATACATTTTAAAGAGTGATTATTTTTCTGTTTTTATTTCTGTTGGGGGTTTTTTAAAATCAATGATTAAAAAGAATCAGTGATGTTTTAGCTGAAAGCTTAAACATAGTTACTCCGGCCCCTCGTGTAAGGCTCGACAAAACGACTCACCTGTTTGGGTGGGAGTTTCAAAAGCACTCAGCATCCGACAGACTCTTGCTTCCGTTGAAGTGAATGGTAAAACTCCCACAGTATCTCTGCACTGCAGCTGGGAGCAAGCCGGGCTCGTGCTCGTGGGGCTCACGCTGGCGCACTAAAAACAGCAGTGTGGACATTGCTTTGATGGTGTGGCTCGGGCTCAGAAGACCCCCCTCCCCAGCTTGAGAGCCTAAGGCTAGGTCTATACTACCCGCCTGAATCGGCGGGTAGAAATCGACCTCTCGGGGATCGATTTATCGCGTCCCGTTGGGACGCGACAATCGATCCCCGAATCGGCGCTCTTACTCCACCAGCGGAGGTGGTAGTAAGCGCCGCCGACAGAAAGCCGCAGAAGTCGATTTTGCCGCCGTCCTCACAACGGGGTAAGTCGGCTGCGATATGTCGAATTCAGCTACGCTATACACGTAGCTGAATTTGCGTATCTTAAATCGACTCCCCCCTGTAGTGTAGATGTACCCTAAGCTCCAGCCTGAGCTGCAACATCTACTTAGCTATTTTTAGTGCACTAGTGGGAGACCTCCTAGGAAGAGCCCGCAGGCCCCGGCTCGCTCCCAGTTGCAATGTAGCCATGTCCCCATTGACTGTAGTGGGAGCAGAATTAATCCAACACTGAGCATTTTGAAAATCTCACCCTTTTATTGAGCCCCCCTTACCTGAGGGGGGAGAAGGGGTATTTTTATTCAGTCTTTTTGCATTTAATTACAATTACTTGGTTCTGCTGCTCTCTCTGGCCCTGATCCAAAGCCCACTGAAGTCAACGGGAGTCTGCCTTTCTATTGATTTCAATAGGCTTTAAATCAGGTCCTACATTGGGAAAACAGTAATATTCACACACGTGGTAAGAGAAAAGAGAGCAGAGCCAGAAAAAAACACACACCACAGCATAGTTCATATGTATTATGGGAACAGCCAGTCCTCTGAGACGGGGAGGGGAAAATAGTATTTTTAGTATTATCATCCTCAACATTTGTATTTCAGTAGCATCTAGAGTCCTCAGCCAGGTTGGGGCCTGATTGGACAGCAGCCAGCACAAACATAGAACAGATGCCTCAACGGGCTTAAATTGCGGGTGCTTTTTGGTAACAAATAATTGATTTTTCTGAAAAATTTTCCACAAAGCATTTGTCCTTCACTGAGAAAGGGAAAACATTAACTTTCATAATAAGTACTGATCTTCTGTAATCTTACGTAGTGCTAGAACATCCCAGAAAGTATCAATGTCCAGGTATTTCAAATGTACTATTGCTATTTCAGTACAAGAAAACACTGCTTTGTAGCTTTCAATATAAATTAAGCTTAGCATGAATCATATATTTTACAATCTGCTTTCTTTTTCTAGTTTGTATGTAATATATGTTGCTGCCTTGGTAACTTACAATTAGCTACCGTATAGGGTATCAGAGGGGTAGCTGTGTTAGTCTGTATCCACAAAAACAATGAGGAATCCAGTGGCACCTTAAATATGCATCTGAAGAAGTGGGTTTTTTACCCACAAAAGCTTATGCCCAAATAAATCTGTTAGTCTTTAAGGTGCCACCAGACTCCTCGTTTTTTCTACCATATAGAGTCAGCCAGCCAGTCGTGCAATGCCTGTCTCTTGCTGACAGCGTACGAAGTCTGAATACTGGCACCTCCAGATGCCTGTCCCCTTTTGTGCCATATTCAAGCTCTGCAAGGGTCGGTATGTGTCCAAGTAAGTCGGAACTACTTAAAAATGAACAATACAAAGAGTCCCAGTGCACTGCAGGATTTAAGCCCAGTTTACATAATGACATGTATGTCAGACAGCTTATAGGCACAGTAGCTGGGAATTGTGTTTGAGGGAACTCGATTCTACACCCAGGCCCCCAGGCTTGCCATACTTAGGCAGATCAGAGATGACATAATTGCTTAACCAATGGGAAAGGGGGCAAGTTGCGCCACACCTAAAGAAGCTGCCTGCTGACCCACCTGGCCCTCAGCACTGGAAGGCACCAGAGCTGCAAAGGTAGAGAAATCAAATGGTTTAAATTGGATCCACATGTAATCGGGTTGATGCAGTGACAGAGCTAATAGGGGGTGAATGCCCCCTCTGCAGCCTTTGGGTGTGTGTGGTGCCTTTTCACATGGGGCTGGTGAGCAAGCCTGCACTGTGCTCCCCTGGCAGCAGTGGCTCCTGTCCTGTGGGGCTGGTTCCAGCTCCCTGCTCCAACGGTTGCAACATGGTGCACAGGGTTGTGTGGCTGCTCACTCAAATTTGGTCCAGCCACCCCTCCATCATGATGGGGCGTGGCTGGGCCAGACCTGGATGGCACTTTGATCCAATGCACCATCGTGCCATGGAGAGCCAGGCCCAGCTCCACACGACAGGAGCCGTCACTGCCGGGTGACTGTGGAGTGGGCTTGCTTCACTCTCCATCTTACCACCATCGACCCATTGCGCCTTCCCTGCCCTGGGTTGCAAAATGTGACTCCGAAGAGACTCCGAAGAGTCCATTTGCAGCAGTAAGGCAAGCGGGATTTGGCATAAACTTTGAACAAACTAAGTAAACTTGGCAGCATATGATGGGTTCAGTCAGGGTGAACAGAGCCTCAACACAGTAAGTGTTCTAGCTGAGAGTCTGGGTTTAAATGAATTTTGGGTAATGATCTGCTTTGTAACTTTCAATATAAATTAAGCTTAACATGAATCATTTACTTTATAATTTGCTTTTCTTTTTATTCTAGTTTTTCATGTACTATATATTGCTGCCTTGGTAACCTACAATTAGCTACAGTATTGAGAGCCTTAGAAATGAAGTGGATTGAATAATTGAAGAGTCCAAGCTTGACCATGAAATAAATCTAAAAACCTTATAGATTCATATATGCACTTGGTCAGATTTCCAGTAGATGTCTATTTAAGCACGTATCTTGTTTAAATAATTTCCATACAATTCACTCCCCGCCGTCTAACTACCAAGCTTGCACTCTGATGCAGGAATCAGCACTGAGATGTTTATAAAACATCTTCTGTTTTACATCTTTATTTGTGTCACTTTATACTGTCTCTTAAAACCCTAGTTATTGGCTTTTGCTCAGTGTTGTTAATAATATTCAGTCACTGTAATGATAGAAGGTGATGCTAGTTCTGATAATGCATTCTTTCTCATCAGTGATATGCACAACAGTTCACATAAAGTAACTCCTATTAAAGACACTGTGCAATATGATGGCTGATGGGTTGTATCCTATAGAATTCCTGCATTCCTATGCTATGGCTGCATTTAGCTTTTGTGTTGCTTTGGAGAATAACTGACTGGCTGCTGTGAAATGTTCTCTGTTCTTAGGGGCTCTTGTCATCTATGGACCTGATCCAAAGCCCATTGAAGACAGTGGAAAGACTCCTATTGACTTGAGTGGGCTTGGATCAGGCCCTACATGATAGCTTTTGGGCAGAAATCCATGGGACAGTGTCAGTCTTTATTATATATTGTGTGTCTGTGCTTAATATTCTACAGCAAACGACATCAGTGAAGGCTGCCGCGGGCCTCTCTTGTGTCTGGAGATTTGTATCCCAAGTCTTGTGGTTAACCAAGCGTAGAGACCTCTGTTGGGCCTGACTGTCTCTAGCTGAATTTAACCAGATGTCAGAATCACTGATTTACTCACTGCTTGCTGTGCTCTTTTGGCCTTTGTAGAATGTATGCTGTTTCTGGAGCCGGAGTAGTTGTTGGTTCTGCCATTTGTGTGTGTGCGCGCACGGGTTTTAAGGTTGCTGCTGTACATGCCAATATTAATTGTAGTGAGGAAAATTAATGAAACGTTTATTTATAAAAAGTGACGCTAGAGAAAAGAATTTTTCTTTCCTTTGTTATTAGTTTAACATCTGGGTTAGAAGGAAGGAAAACAAAACTTCACAGAAAATCTAGACGGTAGGTATCATCTTAGCAAATCGAAAATAAAATGATTTCCTTATCTCTGTAGTGTTGCAAGATGAACAGCAGAATTAAATCATAATTGCCCACTTGGGAATGGAGCCTGTGCTATTCAATGATCTAATTAGAATTCACCACTAGTCCCTAGTGCCTGGATTGCCACACACAGAATTGTACAGATTAGTGAATTACAACACAAAAGGAACAGAACTTCTAAAAACATGGCGTTCCCAAGTAATTGACTCTATTGTATCTTGTGGCTTGCTGACTTTAAAAGAGACTCTTACACTAGAGCAATAATGAAAGGAATCAACAGAAGTTTGGTTCAATATATTGGCATTTTTGGGCCAGGATCTTGTATCAGGATTTGCTAGTCCAGACCCCGGTGCTCCGCTGAATCCCTTTGATTTCAATGGGACTCAGTAGGGCTCCAGGTTAGATGATCCTAATGCAAGATGCCTTATGTCATGAAATATCCTAATGCCTTAGTCATGAAATATTTTAGGAAGTATCCCATGTGTCTAGTATTTGTGGTCAAAGTTAGTCAGTATCC